GAGTGTTTCTTTGACTTCTCGAGTGCTCTACAGCTCCCATCGTGATTATTTCACAGTACATAGACACAAGCGGACGTTTTATATATCGCTTTTATAAAATATCTTTTAATAATTTCGCGCGAGCGTGTCTCATTCCTCTGATTTAAACACGGTAGCCAACCAATCATCGCGTGCGTTATATCTCAAATATTATATATATACTAGTCAATTTCCCGTGAATAAATTCACTTTTTTAAATYCTGAGTAAAACGCTAACAGTTGACAGTTGAACTTTTGTTTTGTGCACTCTGTCGTGACCTCAAGGTGAAGCGTAAAATTATCGTGATTTATGTGCAGACAATTGCCAATTTGGCTTGAAACTCAAGAAATACATGTATGAGGAAACTTTTGTAAAACTTTTTAATTCGGTATGTTTGAATTGCCATTTGAATTGAAAATGCCAAACTTGAAAACAAGAAACGCACTCATTGGGTAGAATTTGACAGAAAGTGACAGCAGTTGACGGTTTGACACTTGAAGGGATTGCCGCAAGTCATTTCAAGACGCTCGGTAGTCTGACGTTTGCCGTGTATTTTCTTGTTCAAACTTCAGCATTTCCATTTGACACCAATAAAGATGGATCTCGGCTTTGTCACAGAAGTTATGTTATTTAAGAAATTTTAATTGGTGTCAAATGGATCGGAGGAGCTCCAGATAATCGAATGGAGATGTTGTTATCAAAACAGTCAGTTTCCCTTTGGCCATGATTGCTTTGTTGAACAGGTTTGTTTGTTAAATAGCTTTCAGATTCTATCGATATCAAATAGTGATGATTTTTAGGCATGTTTTGGAACTGGAAATGAAACTATTTTGAGCCACTTCGTTGTGTCGTGTCCATATTCAATGGAGAGTGTTGAAGTGATACTTTTCTCAAATTCTGTCAAGGAATGGGGTACTGAATTAATCATTTGCTTCCGTATAAAAGCATAGTAATGGCATGGTTTTACTCCAGCAGGTTTTTAATTCAAGATATTTGAAGACTCCCTTTATATTTTCATAGAAGCGAGTAGCGTTTGTTCTGAATGAAAACGGAAATAATTTTCTATTCCTTTAATAATTTTCTCGATTGTTAAAAGTGCAATATTTTCAAATCAAAAACAGATGCCGTTCATCTTCGGGACCAATGCATGAATTCTGTGTGGTTTTTGTTTGTATAAGTTCATTGGTCTCGGAGGAGTTCTTGGAGCACACTTTATCGCTTAGCAAAATATATAGTAGTACATATATATATATATATATATACATATTGAAAGTATATCGGACAGGGCGGGATATCTTTCATGATATTTTTTTCAGAAAGCCCTAATGATAGACAACTCGAAAAAAATATAATGGAGAATATCCCATAATTTTTGATATGCTTTTGATATACTTGTACATATATTGGAAGCGGCCATAATTTTTGCAAATGGCTGYATATATATATATATATATATACACTCGATTGCAGAAACGTTGTAGTATACATTTATATAATATATATACTATATTATAATTGAAAAATATTTTATTTGGAGTTTTTTACAGACAACACTCTTCTCCAGAATGCTTTTTGAAGTATATAGATGAAAAGATTGAGACTTTTAATGCGAAAAAAGAATTATTTATTTACTTGGAGATTTCAACATTTACTCAAATCAGAATCTTGCAATTATAGTCACAACTTTCTGCTTCCTTTGCAGAGTTTTTTCTTATTTCCAACTATTGACAAACCTACTAGAGTTTATAATAATTCTGCTACTCTTATTGATAATTTATTTATGAATGCTCCGGAAAAAACAATTTGTAGCGGTAATATCATATCTGATATTAGTGATCACTATGCACAATTTTGTGTCTCTTCTTCAACAAAAACTAAATCGTCTCCCTCAATGAAGAAAAAAACACGCTACATTTCAAAAAATAAAACCAGATTATTTTGTTGAGGAATTTTCTAAATTGGACTTTATTATTGATCCTGTATCAAATTCTGATAACAGCAATATAGATCACTCATTCTCATTATTTTACAAGAGGATAAATAAGCTTGTTAATAAATATGCTCCAGTTGAGAGCTTATCGAATCGCAAAATTAAGCAAATGCAGAAACCCTGGATATCCCAGGGTATTCGTAAATCTATTAAAATAAAAAATGAATTATTTTCATCTGGTGACACTGAAAAATATAAATACTACCGAAACAAAATATAAATTTTAATTCGCACTTCAAAAAAGTTATTTTATAATTCATTTTTGAAATCAACGCTCGTGATATGAAAAAAACATGGATGGGTATAAACACGCTAATTAATAACAACAAAAAAAGATCGAATAATRTCACCAGTCTCAAAGACCCGATTACTGGGAACATTGAACATGACGCAACTAAATTATCGAATGTTATGAATAAACACTTTGCTAACGCTGGTCCAAAACTAGCTAGTAAGATTCCCCCAACGACTAAACATTTTTCTAAAACACATAAAACAGAATGATTCATTCTYTTTCGTGCCTGTATCAAGCCATGAGGTAGAGAGTGAAATAGTCACCCTACCAACGAATAAAACCTACGGCTTATATTCTTGTCCAATCGATTTGCTTAAAGCTTCAAGACATTTGATTAGTGGACCTTTGGCTTGCCTAATAAACAAATCTGTTGATATTGGGAAGTACCCTTCAAAATTAAAGTTATCGAAAATTACACCAGTTTTTAAGTCGGATGACGACTCTGATCCAAATAACTATAGGCCAATAGCTCTACTTTCAGTTTTTAACAGAAAATTTGAAAAAATAATGTATAAACATTTAATCAAATTTATTGACAAAAACAATTTATTGTCTGAATCTCAATATGGTTTCAGGAAACACTTTTCAACTCATGCAATCTAACATTGATAAGAATTTATTCTCGTGTGCCATCTTCTTAGACTTGACTAAAGCTTTTGATACTGTTGATCATAAATTCTTTTAAATTTTTAATCTTGAATTCTTTTAGGTAAACTTTATCATTACGGGTTTCGAGTAATTATTTGTGATTGGATTCAATCATACTTAAGCGATCGATCTCAAACCGTATCCATTGGTAATAGCATCTCAAAAAAAGAGAAAGTGGCATGCGGTGTACCCCAGGTTCGGTCCTGGGACCTCTGCTCTTTTTGTTATATATTAATGATATCACACAAACTTCTACTGCTTTCAAATTTCATCTATTTGCTGATGACACTAATCTTCTGTATTCGAATAAAAATATCAAAATGTTAGAAACTGTAGTTAACAATGAGCTAATTAGACTATATGAATGGCAAACAGTAAACAAACTAACTCTTAATCTTAAAAAATCAAACTTTATTATTTTTCGTCAGTGTCGCAAAAAAATTACACCAACAGTAAATATCAAAATGTTTGATAATAATTCAAATAAGTTCGTTTCACTAGTATGTAAAACCTATGTTAAATACCTCGGACTGTTAATCGATAATAATCTTTCCTGGAAACCACATATTGATTTTATCAGCAATAAAATAAGCAAAACTGTTGGTCTGCTTTCTAGATTAAGGCATTTTATCACACAAAACATCCTTTTAACAATATATAAATCACTCATTCAGCCCTACCTTTTCTATGGTCTTACTGCATGGGGCCAAGCCACAAAAACTAGTTTGAATAAACATATCAAACTTTTCACATAGAAAAGTTGTCGTTCCGCTCGAGCCGTTTCTTTTACCATATAAGGAATGTACTTACCATATTTGGAAATTGGAATATAATTTTCTTCACTAAATAGGCGAATTTCCTGCTCAAAACTGCTCAAACTTRCAGTAAATCGAGTGAAAACATCCCAGCTAGTCAGCCATCTTGGTTTTGGCCGAAAAAAGACTGGAAATGTGTAGGGGAGGGGAGCGTGGTTTGTCACCACAGGAAGCCCGCGAACGACAACAATTGTTTGATATGCTCTTGTTATTACAAAAGCGAGCTATGAGATTGATCTATTTTGCTGATAGAAGAGAAAGTGCTATCCCTTTTTTTCAAAAAGCTAACATATCTCCATTAAATTTACAGTACTTGGAATCTGTCTCTAGCTTGATGTATGATGTTGTCAATGAACTTGCACCACTAAATATTTGTAAACTGTTCTCCTTTGTGAGCAGTATTCATTCTTATAATATCTTATATATCTTAAATATCTTCTTCATCTAATAATTTATATGCAAAATACTTTCGAACTAATCTTCAAAAGAACTCATTTTCTTGTTTTGGCGTTCACTGATTGTGGAATCGAATTCCTAATTCTATACGGGACTTATCAAAACCGGCTTTCAAAAAGAAAATTAGACAGCTTCTCTTTGGTTATTTAAATAAATATGGCTATGATGTTGAAATCTCCAATCTTTTTTTTCTCTAAATAAAATAGTGCACGATATAATAATTTCATTATTTGTTCTAAAGTCAATATTTCCTTCTTATATGCTATCAATTTATTTTCTTGTGTGTAAACATTTAAACTTTTTTCTTCTTCTTTTCTTCTGTCAAACACAAACCCGCCCAGACCAGCTTAGCTACTTGCGGGGGAGTGTATTGTATTTAACTATTGTAATTTATCTTTAAAAATTAATAAATTGTAATTGTAATTGTAAATTGTAATTTGATGCGGCCAAAATTAATATTTCAGAGCTATATATAGACTCTTCCACAGTCTCTCGCTCGTCCGTTCCGTCTACACGCTTAGAGACTGTAACGGTACAATGACCGAAAGGACTTATGGGTCCCGAAAACATGCACCCAGCGTGCTTTGGGAACCAAAATACTCGTCCACAGTCTCTCTCGTTTTCGCCGCCATCTTGAAAATATTGAAACGAGAGAGACTGTGGACGAGTATTTTGGTTCCCAAAGCACGCTGGGTCCAAGTTTTCGGGACCCATAAGTCCTTTCGGTCATTGTACCGTTACAGTCTCTAATCGTGGAGACGGAACTGCATACCCAAGTCAAGATATTTAAACAAAATATCTATCTGTGATGGAATTGATCCATATTCTGTGAAACTAAAGGACTTTTCGAAGGATTTCGCCGCCTTTCCTGGCTTTCAGTTCCGGGACATTTCCAACTATCTTGTAGTGTAAACATCGTTTTTTATTTTCATTTAATGTCTTTGCCTGCAAATCGGAGAGCTTTTGACGTGTTATGTTTAACTCCTCTTCCATTGCACACAAAAGATCGCTGGTCAGATCCGTCTGGCATTCTGCATCCTGACGATTCGGGTTTTCTGTCGTTTCTGTCTGTGTGTCTGTAATAAAAAAGGGAATCGTGGCATCAATAACAAAGCTTTGAAGTAAATAATAAATAAGTTACATATTTTTACCTTGGGCTGATAGGTGCGGATCATCTATGGTTTGTTCATAAGAGATTTCTTCATCAATCAGACGAGCTTGCTTCTGCATTTATAGTCAAGCAAGGCACTAGCAGCTTCGGAATGGAGACGTTTCAGATCTCTGTTTGCTTCTCTCACCGCGCTTTATAGAGCTCTCTGTGGCTTGTTTTATCTTCTGATTGCCAAGCTTCAACTTAGGGGCCCAATCTATGTCGTCTTCGTCATTTACATTGCTTGGACAACCTAGATAAGATATACATGTATAGAATTTGTTTAGTAAACAGACTTCGATACGACGCGACGAACCTACAAAYACTCTACAAGCATCRTCGTATTTTCAKTGTTTACAACAAACCAACACGTGCAAAGCAAAGAAATAACATCTGAATTTCAAACTCATACAAATATAGAATTGTTAAATACCTTTTACGAAGTGATCGCTACATACACGAGCGTGTGAAGATTTAACTCCTTTCGAAGATACAGTACTGTTAAGTCAGGATAGCCAGCCATCGGTTTCGACGTCTTTTTGATAAATTTCTTGTCCGATCTCTCTTGTGAACCACTTCTTTCAGGTATTCTAACAAACCGTTTTCTTTTTTCTTATTAGATCGGTTTGAACAACCATAAACTGAACAGGAATCGGGCATATTTTACGAAAATGTTCTTTTGACAACTTGTAAACACATACATTGCTTTGTACGCCAGCTGAATTCTTGACCGTCAACTGGAAATATGCATACATAA